GTCAGCAGCCTCTCCCATTGCGGAGAGTTTGAAAATTTTTTTGTAAAGATGGAAGTACAGGTGGGGTAAAATACTTATGCCTATTAGCCAGTGTGTTATAGACAAGCTAAGCAATCTCAATCTAGATTTCAGCAAGGGCATTACTTTTCACAATGAGCAAGATTTTTCTGAAGAAGTAAAGTGTTGTTTCAAAACAAAGGAGTATGAGTTCCAGAACAGAAACCTCTCAGATGGAGAGATAACAGCAATTTTTCCGCTGCATTATTAATGATTACGTGAATCAACGATTTAAGATCTACGCTACGGACGCTTTCAAGTCTGATACTGGAGTTGGTATTGCGGCTGTAGACCGAACCGCGGTGAATGTCAGCCAGTGCATATACAGCAGAAGCTCCATCTTTTCAGCTGAGGCTTGGGCCCTTTGTAAGCTCCGTGAGAAACTGAATCCTGACGAAAAGGTTGCTATCCTTACAGATAGCAATTCAGTAGTTAGCGCCATGGGCTGTGTTCACAAGAGATCCAACTCTCTCATCCTTAAGCTCTTCGAGCGGATTAAGGCTTTCCATCGCCTCACTGTCATCTGGGTTCCTGGCCATAAGGGTATAGGGTTCAATGAAAGAGCGAACAAAGTTGCGAAAAGAAGAAATAAGAATAGCTCGGGGGATTTTTCTGCAGAGGATGCGTGTAGTTTCATCGAGAATACTAGTAAAGGAGAGCAAGTCGACTGCTGGCGGACTTCTCACACCAGAATGGTACAGCTACTGTAATGTTCATTGCGAGTGGAGTAAAGGATTAAACATCGATATGAAAATAGAAGTAGTAGGTTTGGTTTGGTTTATCTAATTATGGCAAAGCACACTAGGGCTATCTGCCTAAGGGGAGGGATGCCTTCGTGGAGGACTTTCTAAGGGAAATTGGATCGTATACACGTTATACATGGGGAAAACCACGAAAACGTCCATGCAGCCAGCCCATTCGCAAGATTCGAACCTCAGACTGAACTACCAGTGTTCAGCGACTTTACCGCTCGGCCGCTGGTGGGGCCCATGGAAGTAGTAATTAGTAAAATAAGATTGCAATAGTTGGACACGAACCAACTGTTGTACGGGTATCAATTGTTATTCGGTATCAATTGAACTGTTGTACGGGTATCAACTGAGCTGTTGTACGGGTATCAACTGAACTGTTGTACGGGTGTCAACTGAACCAACTGTTATTCGCCATTTTGTAACTCATGTTATATGATCGACAGTACAGAACATGCAATTATTCACTGCAGAAAGTACGATAGTGCCAGAAACATTATGATCAAGAAGATGAAAATTAGCAATATTGACCTCTTAGCTGATCTTTTAAACCACTGTAATAAGAAACCTTGGAGATATTATTTCCTAGGCAAATTTGTCATCAAATACATTCTAAAGGACTCATAAGTATTATTAGTGTAAGGGTTTGGTTTTCGGACAGACGTTCTTCCTGAATTGGAGGGAATGCGTCCTTGGTTTAACATGTAAATAACATTATATTTGAGTTGGAGCATAAGGCGCCAAAGGAAAGCCAAGCTTCAAGAAGAAGAAGATTCTGCGAAACACAAAATTCTAGTTTGTGGATTGATGTTTATTACATCTCTTTCAAAGCAATCTTGTCAAATTTCTTAAACAGCTGCAATGAATTTTCTTTTATCACATCAATAAAATCAAAATGATATTCGCGAAATTAACTGCAGGAATAAGGAAAAATAAATTCATACTCTGCAATATCAGGTGAATACGGTGCTTTTGGAGCCGTATTTCTTTAATTTTTAAAATTCGAAAAACAATAAGAGTGCTGTGGGCAGGTGTATAATAGTATAAAATTTTCATGTGCTTATTTTCTCACAATTCAGGCCAACCAGCTGCCAAGCGGCAAATCGCTTGACACTATTAATTAGCCCTCCGTTTGATAAAATCGAATGGGCTGGTTGAATGGTGTTTTCGTGGTTTCCCTTATAAAGAAATTTTTTTCACAAAAGCATCCCTCCCCTTGAGCAGACAGCACTCGAATGTTAATTTGTTATAATTAAATAAATAAAAATCCCGCAATTCAACTCCTTTTCTGTGGATTGTTTCTCTCAAATGCTATAACACACTCCAATAAGTTTTTCTTTTAACTATTTGGGCAACTGGTATTCAGAGACAACAGCCTTGATCATTGATTTATCTTTTTCGGGCTTTGACGTGGTCTTGTCTCTCGAGCGTAATGGTCGCTGAACGCTAGTAGTGTGATTTGGGTTCGATTCCAGGTGAATGCTCTGGCTGCATAGGCGTTTATGTTTTTCCCATGTAGAGAGTGGATATAGGCGAGTTTCTTTTAGAAAGTAACCCACGAAGACTTTCTTTCCCTTACGCATTTAATCTTAGCGTGCTTTGCTGTGATCAGATAAACCCAAACTAACACTGACGTGGTCTTTTCGGCTTTGATTCATCTTTTAAGCACCATTTGACTCTTTTGCTATTTTCGTATCAAAAGTATAAATCCATATTTATCATCGGTAGTAATGCATTTTAAAAAAGGCACCTTAATTTAATTGAGTATATTATAGCTTTCAGAAAGAGTTCAACGTTTTTAAAACAATTTGGAAAAAAAAAAAAGGACCTTTTATAATTGCTTAGATTATTTAGACTATGGAAAATCGCGCGAGGGTTATATGTCTAATGGGAAGGATGCTTTGTGGAGGATATTTTAAAAGAAACTAGATTATATTCTATTTACACAGTGCTTAGTGGTTTACTGTTAAGCGATCTTTCTTCCTCTAAACGACGATCGAATAAACAGTAAATCTGACACGTTACTCATTAGTTAAACTAGCACAACACAGTTACCTTTAAGTTCATTTCTGTCTTCCTTAAACATACTACACAATTGAAGTTTTTTCATATTTTCTAAATAAAATGTTGATCGAAACGCTATGTGCAACATTTTGGACATTTCTCTAGCAGAAATGGTATTGCGAAATCAAAATTTAATGCATTTCTTTACTAAGTTACATTCGTGAAGCTGGGAAATCTCCAAAATAAAAATTCTTTATAAGAAAAGGATATGAAATATGGGTTGCCAGATATCGATGAAAATCGTAAACGTTCCTGAAAATTCTTTTCAAGCAATTTTTTGCAAGTGGGTATTTCAAATGAATCATTTTCGATACTTTTAGATCAGAGCAGCGGGTATATTGATTCACTGCTTTATGTTAATAACACAGCTTAAAAACTTCATATGATACCAGAAAATATCCTTATAGATATTGATTGATAGATGATTCATTCCTAAAAATGTATGTGTCAATAACGATTGCAGTGTGTTCTTAGATTAATAGAATTCATCTGATAAAGCTGTTTATGAGAACGGATGCCGTCATGGAGGATTTTCTAAAAGTTTGGTTTGGTTTGGTTTAATAGATTATGGCAAAGCACACTAAGACTATCCGCCTAAGAGGAGGGATGCCTTCGTGGAGGAGTTTCTAAGGGAAACATGCTCGTATACATGTTACACATGGGAAAACTACGAAATCGCCCCGCACCCTACCCGTTCGCGTGATTCGAACCTCGGATCGAATTACCAGTGTCTAGCAACTTTACATATTTAACCCGTTGTTAAATATTAGCGTCTCGCGACTTAACTACCCGAAACTGTGGTACTTTACTTGATGCTCTCAATCCTGGCGACTGATTCTTTGCTCGGAGATTTCGTGATTTTCCTCATATTTAATGTAAATTGCAGATAATCACAATTAAAAAGTCAACGAAGACAATCCTTTATTAGCCAAGTAGTTCTTTTTGTTATCTGCGTATCTTTATATATATAACATAAAACGGCAAAATTTTCTCAAAGAATTTTCTCGCAGGAACTGACTGAATAAGATAGTTGAATCTCTGTAGTTCGATTTCTGTATCTCGAATCGATCGCTGTAGTTCGACCTCTGTTTAAATCCCGATGAATATATATTGGCATTGATATTGTTTGTGATTTTCTTCTGATGTAACGTAATCACAAACTAGTTTCCTTAGGAAAGTCCGCCCACCAGCGGCCGAGCAGTTCAGTCGCTGAAGACTGCTATCTTGTTCCGGGGTTCGAATCCCACCGTACGGGCTGGATGCATATGCGTTTTCGTGGTTTTTCCCGTTTGTAACGTGTATACGAGCCAGTTTCACTTAGAAAGTCCTCCGCGAAGGCACCCATCCCTTAGGCAGATAACCTTCGAGTACTTTGCCATAATGAAATAAACCAAAACTTAGGAAAGTTCTTTGAATGTTTACGTTTCCTTGAACGTTAGCATGGTTTTATGTTTGTCATAATCAATTAAACAAAAGCTTATAATGACCTCCACAAAGCATCTTTGCTAAGGTAGACAGCCGCTGAATAATCTTCAGCAATCAATTAACAATTAACAAATGAATAATTAACAAACTTTATTTCAGCCTCGCGTGCTTTGCGTTTCAGTTATAAATGAGCGTATTTTTGATAAAGGTCGATGCCCCTAAATCTCACGATGTTCGACGAAATTCGTTCAAAAAACCTACTGACGTTTGAAAATTTTCTTCTAAAGTTTCTTCTTTCTTCTCTAGATATTTCCAAATAAATGTGTAGAGGTTTTCTAAAATTGTGAAATTGCAAATATATTTTGAAAATAAAATTTTTCTACAGAATTTTATAAAAGCCATATTTTCCCCCTATCAATCCGTTTAAATGAACTCTTTTAATGATAAAATAAATCTCTTCATTTTGTTGCAGCCGGTAGTTCCTTAGCTCCTTTGATGTATTTTTTCATTCATTATATTTTTGTATTGTCAAATACATTATCGTATGAAAAATGTTGAGTAAGATTATCACATATTGTCAGAGAATCGTAATTTATTTGAAAGCTGTTGATGTGGCGACTGTTTCCATTTGGCGATTATTGGCGCGCCTCCGAAATTGTCGCCAGGAGACGCGCGTCTTTGTAGTGTCGTGCGAGAGTATGTTTATTTGGGAGTGAACGCAGGTGCGAAGTAGGCTGCGGTGATGATGGAAGTGGCGACGTTTTGCGCGTGTGACGGACGTTACAGGTCTCTAGACTGAAAAACGAAGGCGATAATAAACTTTCTCAGGTAACAACTGTTTAGTCTTACTAGAAAACAGAATGAAAGCGGCTTTTATTGAACAGGTTGGAAAGAGAAAATTTCGCTATCAAATACGGCTAGCCCTAGGCGCCAGCAAATGCACGCTGACAAATATTATTTTCTATAACGGTTGGCAACAATTAAATCCTCATTTCATAAAACCTTTTTAAGATCGTTTTACCTTTAAATAGTATGATAAAAAATTTACGATGAATAAATGCAATGGAGAACAAATTCATTGTATTTTTTAAGGATAACATAAAATTGCATAAAATATTCCATCAGTTATTCATAGGAATGATAGGTAATTTCTTTTCAGGACAAATATCTTTAACATTCACCCCAAAAATGATAAAGTTAGCTTTATACACGAAAAAGACGCACATAAGTTTTTTCTAGATAATCACTAAAAAGCAATTAGATAAAAGAGGATCGGCATGTCTCTGCAGTTCGCCGTAAGTAATGTAAAACTATCGAATTAATACAAAATTACTCAATTCTTTAAAATAATGAAATTTGGAAATAAACTGGATGTTTATCGAAAAAACAAAACAAAATTAAAACAAAATTTATTTTATGCACTTAATTTTTGTAATTATTACGAAACAGTTTTCAAAATTATCGTGGGAAATCAAAAACAAATACAAAAGTAAAGTTGTTTTTTTAAAAAAAAGGAAAAAATACTTCATTCGGTTGATGTCTAGACCAGGGGTGGCCAGAGTGCGGCGGCTCGCGAGCCTGATATGGCTCTCGCAGGCAATTTGTGCGGCTCGAGTCTATAAAATATGTGTATGAAAAATGGTAAACTAAAACTATTCAGTGTCCAAAAAGAAGTAATTAATTAGTTTAGACTCTTTTTAAAAAGTTATCAGGGATTTCTTGCTATTTAAAACCTCCTCCACTACTTCTATAATGATGTAAATAAATTAACGTGTGGCTTTTAGAAAATCTAGATGCGGCTCTCGAACATTCCTGAATTCAAACGTGCGGCTCTTACTGACATGAAGTTTGGCCAACCCTGGTCTAGACTATAAGATACCGCGTAAAAAATTTCGGTATTTATTTTATGTAATCAAAGGAAGCCATTTATATTTTTCATTTTTTCCTCTTTTTATAAGTGGAAGAATAAATTTTCTGTGTGTTAAGAAATTATATAGCTTCAAATATGAAGACTAAGTTTAGAAAACATTATTGCAGTTGTGATGTTTTCTGTACGATTAAATCAGAGCAAACGTTTTCGTTTTCTAAGCGTTGTCAAAAATTGCAAATTTTCCCCCCATTAATAGTATGTAATAATAAGCAAGGTTTAGTTTCTAAAATAAAAAGTTCATAAGTTCCAGTAAAATACATCCTAAGAATGTAGATTGACAAAAATTAATGCATAACGTGATCACAATAATGATAATATATCAACAAAAGGGAAAGAATAAAAGTAAACTGATGTGATCATGTAGCTTATTAAAGACAGAAGAAAAATGTTTTAAAATTGCGTATAATGTCTATGAATCATTCAAAACGATTTCATGAAAGATTAATTTTACAGCCAGTTTTAGTTGAGAACGTTACATTTAGATGTTTGTTAAATCAATGAATGCCGACTGCTATCTGCAGGCCACACACAGCTCACGAGTTATTTTTCTATGCTTATCTGTTGCGCATACTCGAAGCACGGATTTCGGAATATGTTTACATTTTTATACTTTTAACAGTATTAAAACTAACCAAGGCTTGAATATCATCAGTATCGCTCACCATCTTCCCACCTTTTTGGAAATGTTATTTATAGTAACAAACAATTTGCTATTAAGAACAAAATAAATGTAGGTATTATATTTGATCAGTATTTGCCAAAATGTAATGTTAGATATAATCCTTGATTGTTCAAGAAATATTTTGTATCGCAGTTAAATGTTTTAAAGTTAAAACGAATGTCGCAACTCGTTTTTAGTATGTCTTCGCAGAGATTAACTTATTCTTACTTTCTCTATTTTGTCATAAATAAAGTAATATCGGATCAAGCTTCCTCTGCTCTTTTTTGGCGTTAAGCTTTGGAAACAAGATTTTTTTTTGCAATTAAGGAATTTAGGCTTTATAATTAAAGCCTTCATTCAATAATGAAAAAATAAAAATTTAGTTTTTGATAGCGAGAACGAAAACAGAAAAAAATAATTAATTTATTAATAAAAAGGAATAGAATGCACACTCTTATTTTAGAAGTAGGTAGCCTCCGATTACCTAAAGAATGAAATAAGTAAACGCTGCGGGGGTGGAATGCATGAGATCAAGTATGGGAGAATTCAAAAGTAGAGACTTTAATATATACATTTTGAAACTTGGCGATAAGATTTAATGAAGGTTAAATACTAAATGAATAAAATTAAATAAAGATTACACAAATTGTTTTATTTTACAGCGTAACTCAAACTTTGTGCAACAATGTGTATTAAAATAAATCATCTCATGGAAGTAATCGAAAGCTTTATTGTACACAATGCTTCGGGTGAAAACATTGTTAAGCATTAGTAAACATAAGAGTGTTCACACCACTGACATTTTTTTCCGCCTCTTCTAATATGACATAGGAACTCGTAAGTTTATTTTCCGACGTCCGATTTGACTATGGGAACAATAAGCTGGGAGGGGGGAAGAGTCGACTCGCTTAACTCTCCCACCCCTCCACTTCATCTCTGTTTACCATGCTTTCACATCACGGAAAGCACGGGAATGAAGGCTAACTTAAACTATAGTCTTAAATGAGTTAGAAAAAAATAATGCCGTACGAGATGATGATGACACGAGTTACGACCGTGAATGACATAGAGGTAGGAAGTAAGATGGAGTCGCCCTAAACAAGTTTCTCCCGTACCCTGCTTTGAAGCACCGGCGATCCCTATGTGGTGACCAAAACATTGGGTCATTTACCATTGAGTTCTATGGGATTTGACGCGTTCGGATGTAAATATTTTGTAATTACGTCGTAAATATACATATAAATGTATATATTTTCTTTTTCTACAACACTTCAGAGTATGTGAAAACAACATATTTTTAAACAACATTTCATTCTGAACGAAATTAAATGCACAGGACAATTTTCTTTTCACAGGACAGTTTTCTCAGAATGGTTTAATTTGAATGAAATATTTTCACAAGTTTTCGTTAATTACATTAGAAAAAAAATTAAGGTAATTCGATTTTATTCGGTTAAGGTACAAAAATTAAGATAAAAGTTTATTGTATTATTAATATTAAAATTATGCATTATTTCTTTTCTATTTATAGAGCTTCTTCCTAAAATACTTTCTTAAATATGACATGATATTTTGGCTTTTGAGGCATCTTTTAAATCGAAAAATGTATGTCAATTTATAATTAATGCTCTATTCGGTTCATTTTAAATTAGAGAATTATATAGGAATTAGCGAAATACTTTAAATAAGTATTTCGCTAATTCCTAATAATTAAATAGGTATTAAATAGTACTTGACTTTCTCTGAACATTCTGAAAGGGAATAAAATAAGTTTTTTTTTTTTTTTTTTTTTTTTTTTTTTTTTTTTTTTTTTAGTATTATTTAAAACTTGTAACTGAGTTATTATAAATGTAAGGGGAATAATTCTTTTAATTATACTTATCAGATTTTTTTTTTTACCTTTCATTTCAACAATACATATTTCAAAAACTCTTTATTACGTTCTTAAGTGCGCATCTCATAGCATTTGCTTTACAATACCTTTTAACAGATTGCTTTCCAATACGAACAATTCTTGCTTAAATAGTTTTATAACGTATTTGTCAACAGGATTTCAATTTATGTTTACAATTCAATATTAAGGTTATTATATATTTAGATAACATTTATAATCATTATAAATTAGATACATTTAATCATTAGATTTCTTCACAGTACTTTCACAGTTGTTTATAAGTGAATAAATTCTTCATTTCAAATACATTTATAAATAATTTAATGAAGATTTAAGTATTTTGTCAAAGGCAGATACATGCTTTTTGCAAGCACATGCATAAATACCCATACATATTTCCTGTTTTTCATTTCCGGCATGTGCAAATCTTTAATTTCTGTGCATTCACTATATTTTTCATGTAAAGTAATTTACACTAATTTAGCATACACCCGAAAGTTTTACATGAAAAATATATATGAATATAATTTGAATGAAAATTAAAAGTATTATTTTTAATACCCACTCAAAGGTCAGTTTTTCTTCAAAATTCCTCCACGATGGCATTTCTCTCTTTAGGCAGATAGCCCTTGCATGCGTTACTCTATTTAATAAAAACTTAATCTGACCTATGTACCTAATTACAAATATTTTAACATACATAATTTTATATTTATAAAACGTGTAAGCCCAACGTGATTATTTTTCAGATATATAAAATTAAAACGATGGGTTTAAAATGAGCAGCAGTAAAGCCTTTCTTCTAAAAAATTTTAAAAGGTACATGTTACAATAATATATGGATGTGAAAAAAATTTGTTTTATTTAAAACATTTTGACGTTTGGAAAATAAAATAAAAGTAGCGAATACTCTATCAAGGGTATCGAAAGACGTATACAATTTTAAATGTACCGTAAGGTATATTTCATTCTTTAAGCATAACATTTTTCTTAAAATCTATATTTTTGTAGTGCTACAGCTTATAATTTTATAAAACAAATTCATAATCAAAATCGCTGTTGTTAGTTATCGAAAAATAACCAAGATGTGATTTTTGCGTAAATGTCACTAAACTATACAAATTGCTATTATCCATCACACTATGAATGTTTCTTTCATGCGAAAGTGTCCCTTTTTCGATTTTTATGGAACTGTCGTGTGTCGAAATACTATCAGAATCTTGTCAAGCGAGCTTCTGAATGTAAACAAAGAACACCCCATCTGGTGACCCAAGCTTCAAAGCAGTGCTTCACTTTTTAGCGCGGGTTGGCCCCTCCTCCCTTTCCTACCTCCATGGTGAATG